CGAAGGGCGGAACAGACGGGGGAGAAAGGGGGAGAAGGAATTGCGGCGAGAAAACGTGGAATTTAAAAGTTAAATTGTGTTTCGTTCATGAATTATGCATTCGTGACAGACTCTTTTGATTGCGCGGAAACTTTGATCTTCCGGGTACATCGTATCGGTCACATAACCGTTAACTCGATGCACTTTTAATCGACAGATACTACCGCCGAGTATTTTTTTTCTATTTATTCAAAACGGCTGACGCTTTCGTCGAGCCACCGGTCCGTTTACTTTCGAGCGATAAACGTGCGTTAGTTATTAATAGTCCATTGATGTTGTGGGAACACCTCCAACCGAACAGAACGACCAAAAAGTCACTCTCGATCGCCTTTGAAGAGCTTATTTACTTGAACGTGAGGATTTTATCGACACGGCTCGCGCGCAGATCGAATAGGAAATTAAGTAAGTTGCTTGTTACTTCAACTCGTAACGAGAATAAATAAATGGATTGATGAATATTCATCTTGCAATTAAGCTTCATCGGCTACTGAAAGCGATCGGAGAGTCTCTCGACAACCGCGTTCATGTATAATTTGCAACGGAATGAATTTCTTGAGACTTATAGCCGTTAAATTAAATTTTTATATAAGCAATAGCTGGCTAAGGAACTCTCTCTAAGATACATCATATATCTAACATTTTATTAAATTATGCAGGTAGAGATAGATAAGAGTCATAAAAAACCTCGAATTTATATAAGAGATAATTTTAATGATTATGATAAATTTATTAACCATGTATCGTGGATTCAAGTTAGATAAATTGATAGTTGCAAGTAATCAAACGAAACAAAATAAAAATTTTAAATCTTTGAAAATTAAGAACTCTTCTCGTGAATTAAAAGCAAATATTTTGCGAAAAAGTTCTGATAATAAACTATAAATGTATTATTAAATATCGGAATATAAACCAAAGATGAACCGAATTAACTATCTTTTCCAAAGAACGCAAGCTGTTCCCGCTTATAATCGATGGACCACTCGAATTATATTAAAATGAATTCCTGGGCACTGGCGGGTCGACTTATATTAAGGCTCGTTAAAACAAAATTATTATCTTCTTCGTCGAACTCGTTAAATCTCAGTTAAAAATACGGTCAACTATTCGAATATAAAAGTATAATGCAATTTATTGTATTAGACATATATTTTACAAGATAAAATGTTAACATCAATTTCACAAATATTTTTTTAGTTTTTAATTTTACTTTAAAAATGTTCTGTTTTAATTAATTTAGTATCTAAATGTTTTTTATGTGAATGTTTTTATTATATATAGAAATTCTCAGAAATTATGCAAAAAAATCATTGATGAATTCAATAATGAAAGGATATTTTTCAATATTATATGGTATTATTTTTGAATTATGTTAATGTTTCTAATGATTAAATCTTTTGTGTGTGTGTGTGTCAGAGGCTATAATTTTTTTAATAAAATAAAATTATTTAAGATGAATAAAAAGATTAATGCAGCAAAAAATTTCAATTATTAACGCTAATGATTCCATCATCCAGCAACGTTTATGGTCAAGAGAGTATTCCAATTGCTGGCATATATTCAAAGTATACAAAAGCTATTCCCCGGCAATGTAATTGACTAACAAATTGACATTAACGATTATTAATGTCGCATAAAGTTAATTAATACTCTACAATTTGTATTACCAACTTATCGTGTCGTTTAGTAGTCTATTACGATTTAATTACATCACACTCGACGTTTATCTCGTGTATCCGATAAAATTTTTTAATTAGCGTACCTTCCGCGCGCTTCCATCCGAATCAAGATTATCAATTATCCGTTGTCGTCGTTTTATTGCGAATCGTCGAACGTTTTTCCCGCGAATAGAGCCGATAATCAGTTCACTCGCGAATAACAACCGATCAAATCGAGGATCGATCGACATCACCGTCTCTTCGTCGTGTGATTCTGCATTATCGATGTACGCAAGCTGTTATATGTGATCAGTGTGCGTGATGCAGCCGATATTGCGAGCACGTATCGTGAATTCCATTTGATTTGAATCACACTAGTGGCATCTTGTCTCACTCGAGAATATCTCGCACATCGACGTTACAATGTGGTTTGATTTTATCTTAAAAAAATTCGAAATATCAAAAAATCAATGTTATTCTTTCGATGAAATGTCATAATAAAATAATTACATTAAAGTTCCTGTCTGAATTCCATTTTAATCAAAAACAATTAAAGTGAATGTAATTAAGTTGGATAATTTTCTGAACAAAATCATGATCAGAATTTTTATAATATGATAATGAATCTTTATTAAGTACATACGTCTTAAATGCGTACGTCAATATCCTAAAAAATTAGTAAAATTAAAAATTTTGTCTTTTTTATTTATTTTCGTGAAAAAAGCTTCGGAAAATATGATAACTATTTCGGAAACGCTATCGCCGCAGAAATTTCATTTTCGAATAATAAATTCTCGAACGCAGCCGCGGAATATTCAACCGCACTCGAGTATCGTCCTTTCATGTGAACGAGAGACGCAAAACGTAAAACCGCTTATGAGACCGAGGGTGTGATGTCGTACAAAAAAAGAGGAAAACCGCGCGACGGAGGGAGACCATGAAGGAACCATGAATGGGGAAGTCAACGCGATTCCATCCACGAAAGGATGCATTAAACCTCGACAACGACGTGAATACAAGCTTAGGGACGCGCGAGCAACCTGAAAGCGCGGTTTATGCTCTTCGGATCCGTCGATCGATGCCCGTACCTGAGAGCGAATCGAATACGATTATTGATGCATCGCGAATACACTCGTCGCACTGTCGCCTATAATAAATTCTCGACCTCCTCGGATAAGGAACATCGGATCCCTCACCTCTTTGCTCCGCGATGCTTATAAACAGTTCCTCCAGGAGGAAGGTTGCTCCGAAGCTCTTTTCGCTCAAGCACGTATACACGAGATGGTGCTCTTGCCAAGGTTTGCATTAAACTTGAGAAGCGTATTCTTTGATGAAGTCGGTCGACGAATTTTCCTCGCTGAATATTTAATCGTGTCTGTACGAGCAACTCCTGAATCTTTGACGTTAAATAGCGCCTTAACCCTTTCACTGTTCATTTCCCTTCTCCTATTCGACAAATAGATAGATCTTCCGTTAATATGTGTGAAAACGTTAAGATTCATTGTTACGTGACATCTTGGTACATGTCTAATTAAATTTCTGAGCAAGTAAAGTCTACTGTGAGATTTTAAAAAAATAAACAATAAGATTTCCTTTCCTTTAATTAAAAACTACATTCATAAAAAGATTCCATTTTAATTATAATTAAAAAATTGTCGCTACTCCAATATTCGACTCGAAATTAAGTTGACATTTCTGAGAAATTCGCACGAAATTCGTAAGAAATGATAGTCTCTGTATTTCTATAATAATGGAAGATATATCCCTATTTCCATAGGATAGTTATATTGTGGTCCCTATCCAGCAATTGACGTACACGCGATACAAAGTAGAGCTCCGATTAAATGAACGTTCGGGAAATAGGAGCTATTTCCGATATCGAAAAAGACGTGAGCTCGAGATTTCGGTAGCATTAGACGCGACACGAGCGTCGATTGGCCAGAAACGCACCTAAGAATCGCCTTTGCTACGAAGCAGCTCGTTTCCGAACGTCTTTTCTCGGTACTCGCCAATAAATGGTCCGGTTGCTCTCCCTCTAAAGCGCAAAGTCGTTCCGACAAATGGAACTTCTCATAGAGAAGATTGCAATAGCAATCATAAAGCGATACGATGGAAAAATTGAGCCTCGTAACGATGTCGTCACTGGCCTCTTGTAAAATTCTTGTTAAGATCAAATACTTGGTATTTCTTACGATTATCATGACTCGTCGAACGTTATTGATATCGATACAATATATCTTTCATTTTATACAGACTATAATTATAACAATTGGAGGCCATGAAAAACGAAAAATACGAAATAATAACCATAATTTTGAAGTATTGCTTATTGTTACTGTTATTTGACATAAAGTAACAAAATAAAATCAGTCTAATTTTTTATCCGTTGTCATTAAAAGATTTAAAAAAATGCGAAAAATTTGTATTATTTATTATTATTTATTTCGCATTTTTTATGATATGTATAATTATTTGAATTTTTCCTTCTAGTGGAGAGAAAATATTTATCAAATAAAAATAACAGAAATCTAGTTTAAATTTCTTTTGCATAAAAGTTGATTTAAAGTTACTTTCGATAGTACTTAATATTATATAGACTTATCTCTATCGCGGCAGGGGAAGGATATAAATCAAAGTTTTCGCATTCACTTACAGCTGCAAGGAAACTTTAAGTTTCGCACTTAATTTAAGTTTGCATATTATGCCCAGCATCAAAATATCAATTAATTCTTGCAAAACTCATTCGCAAACATCATCTTTCTTATCTGTTCATTGAGATGTATCATAAGTCACAAATTTCCTGTCAACAAGTATCTAAAAATCTGTACTTAATTAACATACTAACAATCAATTTTATCTCTGACAATTATATTCGCTTATACGTTCATTTAATAGAGATTATACGAGGACTATCGATTAATCTTTCGTCATAATTCATCTTTACTTTAAATTGCAATGCTGCGTATGCAAAATGCCTATCATCGATAATCAGCTTTACTTACATAATTCTAAAATCGATGTGTGCAATATATTTTTTAATTTTAATAATTCTAAAAACCATGTAGCATTATTCGCGTAATTTTGCAATTTATATTATTTCTGTCTCTCTTTATATTCGAGGAAAAAAATAATTTCTCGCGCGTCGAAAACCTCAAAATAGCTTTTTGATCCGAGTATATACTCGATTCGGGCACCAAATCCGGAATTGATTTCGACGAGAGACAAAAAATTGGTATTCATATCAGGGAATACCATTTCGAAGGTAAGCGGCTTTCTGTGTAAGTAAGAATGGAGTAAGGTACTCACGTTAGAGGTGTCGTCGAGTTTCCGCTTCCACGCATCGCTACGTTCGATTAAAGCGTTCCACTGCTCCGAAAGTTTATTCACTTCGCGGCGAATGCTCCGCGTCAATTCGCGCGCCTGCTCCTCGGCGCTTCTGTATCCTCTGGAATCACCGTCCAATTCTCTGCCTGCTATAGAGAAAGCAAACAGAGGATAAACCGTTAAACATTTTCCAGAGCAAACCTACACAATTCTAGTTTTCATTTAGTTATATGCTTTTGTTATTTCGCAAATATAGATGAATATTGAGGCTTCTACGCGATACAATGTTTGTTATAAAAATAGCAAAGATCTCTTAAAATATTATTTTAATACTGTATTAATATTTTATTTTATGTGTTTTAAAAAATAATATTTATTAATAACATTTTTCTGAGAAGAATATTTATCTTACTGTGTTTAATATACGCTTAACAAAATAGTCTTATTATAACAATAATTTCCTGGATATGAAAATTTAACTGAAATAGATAGATGATTTTGCATACATTTTACACTTGATCAATCGAAATGACATAAATATCTCAATTGTTAGTGAGAAAGGAAGTTTTTCTGTGACGTCGGTTAATTTATTTATTATAAAATTTGACATGTGATATATAAAAAATCGTTTTTCATAAAAATCATTCTACTTGTAGCATCAAAATTCATATTTATCCAACGCAATGATATGTGGCAATTGAATCTAGAAGATATCACTAAGATTTACAATTATAAATTCTACATATTATAAGCAATATTAACAGATACAAAAAAGCTAAGTTTTTATTGTTATACTAGAAATCTATCTATATCAACAAAAATTTCTTTGAGTGTACATATGAAAGAAGAGACACTCAGCAATTTGTAGCAAACATTAATTAATTGCCAATATTTTTCTAAAGCTTTAAAATATTGGAAAGATAGAAACGCACGCATGTAATACCTCACATCATGCGATGAAAAAAAATGTTTTATATATCCTGATATAATATTATATCGCATCAGAGTTACTAACGCAACGCATGCATTCAAGATCGCATCTTTCCGATGCGAGTCTGTGCTTCCATAAGTACCAGCGCGTATTCGCGAAAGAAAAAGAGCGGTCCGAGGAACCGATCGAATCGCGCAAAAATATCTCTTCTCGCTGATTCCTCAGCGCTGTCGATCGATAAATCCGACGTGCGGTCGGGCGATTAAACGCGAACGCGCAGGATGAATCGCGGCGAAGACCAGCTGGGTAACATCGCGAACATAAATCAACATAACACGCGGTAGATAGGAAACCAACGAGCAGGCGCGCATAGGTATACAGCATCGGCGTTATCAATGCTAAACATGCACATAAAAACTGTCCGCTGCATGATACGATGCGTGATTCATAGGACAATTAATTCCTGGCGATAGGCTCGGATAGCTAACCCGGGTTTCGACCATTTCTCTACGCTTCGTTACGCGCGTTCCCGGTCCGGTTGGTGAAAAATAAAAGGGTTTCTCGCGAGCGCGCCATCACGGCATTTTTACGGGTATCCAGGGAGATATGTTCGGCAGTAAATCCGCGATAAAGGCTCACCGATGATATTAAAAGATGGGGAAAAAACGATTTGCTCGTGACAGGACATCAGGCGTGGCCGTGATTATCTTCCGGGTCACGTGAGATTGAACGATCAATCTAGGTAACGGCTAATGGATAACAACTCGCGGAAAAGCGCGGCGAATGTTTGCCGCGTGCGGAAAATGCGAGTAGTTTGTTGCGATGATTCTGTTGTATGTATTGCACTTATACATCTTATATATCCGTGTAACTGCGCATGATGCATTTAATAATTAAATTATTAATACGAAATATGAACATATTGCGAGCAAAAAATATACATACTTTACAAATTTTAAAAAAGATAAAATCTTTTTAATCAGAATTTTATCGTGCTTCATAATTTTCTCGTCGATCTTCCTTGATTCAAAAGTAAAATCAAATTTATATGATAATTTCTCTCAAGTTATATTGTCTTTTAAAATAGAAAAAGGGGAAACTTGTTATAAAAATAAAAAAAGAGAAACTTTTTAATGTACAACTCTATAATTTGAAAAATATTCGCGAGAGTATACGCAAGAAATATACACAATCTAAGATTTTCTTCTCACGTTATCACATATTGATCTCCCTGGTAAGGGACTGACAGATGGAATGAACCAGTCGGATGCAGTTTCCATTCTTTAAAGGAACAAGCAATGCGAAAAAGTGAACGATCGCGGGAAACAACAAGGTAGATCGAGCAAAAAAAACGTTTCAGAAAACAGTCTACAGCGAATTGAATTAGACGACCGTGCTCTTCATTACTAAACCATCTATTCAACAGTTGACGCTCTACTTTCCGAACACGTACGCCGCTAGTTTATCTAGTTCCTGTTCGCTGACTCTTTCCCAACCTCATTTTAATCCACATCCCCGGAGTGTCACGCTAATTCTTTCTTCCTTCACCACACTGCATTCAGATTTAAGTAGGAAGTGGGTGACGAAGGCGGAAATAACGACGAGGTTCTCTAAAGAGTGGAATATAAATCCCGCGGCTGTCATTGAGCAATATGAATGAAAATGTCAAAAGCCTCGGATTTCAAAAATGCAACATTTTCATCTCACTTCGCACTTACAAAATCATGATTATAATTCATAATACGTCGTAATTGTAATGATTCAAATATTAATATATATGCAATTTATTTATTTATAGCTATTTAATTGTCTAATAAACAATTAAATAATAATTGATTAATATAAGAATATACATATTAAACCAAAAATCAGTAATACTTTGATTTATCACAATCTATAAAGTAATGAAGAACTTTGATTTGTCAGAAACTATTTTCTATAAATTAGTATTTGAATTAAAAAGCAATTGAAAAATTGACTTTCGACACGTACGTATAAAGTACTTTAACTTTTCTAATTTACAACATTCTTGATTCAATCTATCCTTTCAGGACTTCCTAATTATTCTGAATAGTATAATTGAAGATTCTTATTCTGAATAGTATAATTGAAGATTCTTATTCTTCTTGACAGTATTCTGACAGTATGAGAAAATTACATCGTATATATTCCTAGCTACGACAATGGCAATTAAGAAGAGGCAAAACTATTCCAGGTCAACTATTTCCGTCTGATCGATCATTCTAGGAAGGAACTATTGACGCGTTTTGAGAGATGTATGGTCCAATCGATTTCAATTCGCGGACGTAATAATGTGTTTGTAAGATATAAATCCAAAATTATAGAGAATTTATCAAATGTTTTATCTCGCCCTAGAATAAAATGAGAATTCTCTCATTTATTTTGACATAAAAAATATATCGGAGAAATGCGTACATCAATTTTGATTTAATAATAATTTAATAAATAAATAGATATAAGCATGATTAATAATTTCTTTATTATATTTCGAAATATTTATAGTAGATATAAAATATAATTTATCTTTTTTTGACATTGATAACAATTCTACCGATAAGAACTCTATTCCACACATCAATAAGTTCTAGTTTCGTTCCGATCGACCGAACACGGGAACCACGAATGAAGTTCGCGAATAATTTGCGCTGGCGAATTCAACGTCGGAATTATACAAGGTGAATTACTCAGCCTTTTAGAATATCTTCATAAATATTGATTTTACAGAACAACGTTTAAGATAAAAATTAATTAATTTTGAAAAGCATACATTTTGGTCATCTTAATTTTTTTTATATAGTGAGGCGTCATTAATTTAATAAATAAAATTAATTCATTTTCTTCGAAAAATTATTACTCTAATTATTTTCATTTCAATTATTCCACGCTTATTATAGCTTAAATTCGTCTTTTCATTTTTTATAATAATGATTAATCAGAAATAAGGTTTTCCATATAAAAAAAAAACTTGAGATGACCACCAAGACGTTTTTAAAGTTTCCAAAAAAAAAAACCAAAAAAAACGAAGGGAACCAAGACGTAGTCCTTTCAAAATTATTTAACTTTTGTCCGAAATGTTTTCTCCATAAAATCAATATTTATGAAGATTTTAGAAGGCTATTTCTGTGACTCACCCCGTATAATCTAGCCTTACGGTGCGATGTTATTCTACCGGAAATTTATCGACGTTGTGCGGCGCGGCCGGGCAGCAGCCGATGCAGGGCACGTTTCGCGAAACGTGACTTCCTATGGAATGAGCGAAATCGCGCGCGGCCGCTGCGCGTAGTTGCTCGCTCGCAGGAGCCGCACATCCCACGTTATTGGGATCAAATCCGTTTCTCGCACGCCAGAGCGAAGCTATCGTTACGGGTATTCCGAGATCTTACATTGGATATTACAAGAAATACGGTGAATGACAATGATCGAGGCCCTGGAAACCGCGTCATCGAACATAACTCTCGTGGACAGATGAAGTGATACCGAGAGATTATTCGTTCGAATAACGATTATTAATATTGCAGATACAGTTGCAACTTATGATACTAATATAAAATGACATAACCAACGTTTAATGGTTTTCAATGATGATATATTTTGTCTAAACGATTGGCTAAAATGCATTGAAAATATGATTATTTTTGCTTCTTATCAAATTTAAAGAAACGTATTTATTGCTGCGTAGTTTGAGATTCACGAAATCTCTATTTGAGATACCATTTTAATTCATTCAAGCCTTCTTGCGAATATTTTGCATATATCAAAAATTTATATATACAGGGGTGTCCCATTTTAATGCCCCACCCCAAATAACTTTCTTATTTTTAATTTTAGAAAAAGATGTTTCAGACAAAAGTTGTATGGTTTCGAGGGGGACATAAGATGGTACCATTAATTTGATCTTGAAGAGTCACATGAAGGTTACGTGAAGATCATTTTCAATTTCTTAAATGGAACACCCTATATATTTTTGCATATTCTTGTAGCTTATCTCGAGAGCTTTCCAAAACACTATAAATAAACATTTTTTCATCAAGTACGTTTCGAGTAATGAGGCTTGAAATCATTTCTTAATTTTACATAAACCATAAAATATCTTGTAAAATATTCATTTTTTGATTATCTTACCTTAATACTTTTATGTACAAAATAATGAGAGAAATCAATTGGTGTAAAGAAAACATACAGTTGTTTTTAAGAAAAAATATGGAATTGTTAATTGCAAATTACATATTTTTTTCTTAAAAACAACTGTATGTTTTCTTTGCACCAATGGATTTCTCTCATTATTTTGTACATAAAAGTATTAAGGTAAGATAATCAAAAAATGAATATTTTACAAGATATTTTATGGTTTATGTAAAATTAAGAAATGATTTCAAGCCTCATTACTCGAAACGTACTTGATGAAAAAATGTTTATTTATAGTGTTTTGGAAAGCTCTCGAGATAAGCTACAAGAATATGCAAAAATATATAGGGTGTTCCATTTAAGAAATTGAAAATGATCTTCACGTAACCTTCATGTGACTCTTCAAGATCAAATTAATGGTACCATCTTATGTCCCCTCGAAACCATACAACTTTTTTCTGAAACATCTTTTTCTAAAATTAAAAATAAGAAAGTTATTTGGGGTGGGGCATTAAAATGGGACACCCTGTATATATTTTTTTTTTACCGGACAGTATTGATTATTAATTCTACGAATTAATCTCATAATATGTACAATCTGGCACTGAATATAGTTTAACGACACCAGCATTAGCGAGTTTTACGCGAACACATTTTCCAAGTAATTAAATCTCGTTTTGACGAAGGCTAATGAATTTTTTGAAAACTTGCTTAAATTATCGTCGATCGGCTATTTCGATATTTGACCATTAATCGCGCGATTTTTCTGACGGTAATTACACAATCACTCAATGACATCGATACGTGTGAGTTAATTCAAAATATATTAAATACAATTTTTAAAAAAATTGATTTTTTCAATAATGATTGTTTTTGCGTATTATTCATTGAGCATATAACACTTTATTGTGTATTAATAATCTATAAATTCTCTCTAGCGTTATTGAAAAACATATAAAAATTACAATAAAGACATTGCATAAATGTTTCCACATTTATAATAAATAATAGAGTAAATAATAAATTTCGAAACAATCAATCATTTAAATGTAATTGATTTAAACAACTTATGTTGCCATAAAAACTTTTACAACTTTTCCGAGATGAAAAAAACGAGTTTGTTACGTTACAACAAGCTATTCCAAGAATAATAAGTATCTTTTATTGACTAATTACGCAATAGCAGTTGAGAGAGGAATATGGCAAACTGTGTCGTATCTTCCTCCGGGACTCCAGCAAGTCCTACAAGTTTTCAGTCCCTCTCGGGGACATCTCTTCTAAAGCCTCCGCGTCGTCTTCCATCGATATCGATATACTACGATAGTTGTAATTCAATTGAAAATCCCACGTGGTTTGCGACGGAATTACGTTTACTTAGGCCGCAATAATTTCTTTTTCTAGCCAACACATAGTACAAATACTCGCCTTCTTACGAAAATTAAATAAAAATATCAATAAATACAGTGTGCAAGTTTTACACGAAAAACAAAAATACAACTATAGTTTTTTTTACATATAAGGTTAAGAATGAAATTCTCAACAAAGTGCATTCAAACTATAGATAAAATTAGCACTTTATTCTTTTATAAGTCACACGTAGATTTTTTATTGGAAAATATTTGATTCGCGTGATGGAAAGTGCATCGATGAAATTTAATTATCAAACTAAAATTCTTGTCATATTAAATTTATATTACGCTTCATATAAGATATGACTTGCAGTGTATCGTAAAAAACTATAATTAAAATAATTTCAAATAAAATCTCGTCCCACGTTCGATTTTCAACAAATCAAAGAAATTGGATTCATCTCGATGTATTATTTAGTGCCTTACTTCATTTTTCCTGTTCCTATTCAATCAGAGACGGTGCAACATGAATAAAACATCTCGTCTAAATTTCACAACTCAGAGTTGCTGATACAGAACGAAAACTGGAAAGCGTACGCCTGTAACTGGTTAGAAACGCTTCATATCGGTTCCCGATAGATTCGCGTTAATACCGTCTGCTAGAAGTTTATTTCCGAATACTTGAAAATGATATTACGATACAATACGATATTGTAAGAAAAAAATTACTTGTAATGATTATATAAAAGATACTTGCATAACTATATTAGACTATACTATAAAAATAATACTCTCCAATATAAATAATAAAAAAAATTTATTTTTTTTTTAATTGTGAAACGAATTTAGATTAAAATATAAATTAGGTGTATTTTTAATAAAATAGGTTTTACTTCTCGCATAACACATTTAAATATATCTTTGTAAATAATAATCATCATTAATCCTCAAACTTTGTTCAAAACTTTCTAAGCAAAGAAGGATAAATTAAAATAAATATAAATATAATAAAGTTAAGTTTGATATATGACATGAAAAAATTTTTGAAATACTATTTTATATTTGATATTATAGACCATCACATATTTCTTTATTCTCAAATTGTGATCAATTTTTAGAGAATTATTCTTAGCTATAAATTTGTAAATTATTTATAAATAAAACATAATTCACATCAGATATCTAGTGAGTTTTTTTTAAATATCTGTATTTTTTATATCTCGATGAGATTATATAAATGAAATGCTCAAGGCGTCGCAGTTACGCATTTTTCTCCCTTGTTATACTTGAAAAGGGAATGACAATAAAGAATGAAGCTCGTTTCTGGTCTCGCAAGTTAGGCCAAGAAAAAGAAAAAAAGAGAGCAAAATATTTGTTAGTATCTTTCAACAACTCGGAATATGCACAATAAAATTTTCAATTCAATGTGAAAATTTACGAACTCGAAAGAAAAGGTGTGAATTATTAAAATACAATCGCGAGTTTACGCAGAGGAAGAGCAAAATAAAATAAAATGTTTCATATTTGTGACAAATTATGACAAATATAGTGAACATTCATTTAAATCTTGTTAATTTTATCAAAATATCGTATCAATAATTTAGGAAAAAAAATATGAGACATTTTCTTTCGAGTTTAAAGCCAATACTGTTATTATATTCTCCACATTATATTTTTTTTTTATGCCATCCAAAATAAAAAAGGAAATATCAGATATTGCAGATTTTTTTGATAAGCGTCTCTTTTTATAGATTAAATAACATGACTGGGAATACCTAACGGAAGGACAATGGCGGCAGTAACAATTCGTTAATTAAATCAAACGGTGACAAGAAACAAAGAGAGGGAGAAAAATCCTGTGCTCTCTTCCAAACGATAGACTGGTGAGATAGACTGGGACTCGAAGTTCCTGCCTCCGGTATTGGTACGAAAATTAACGAACAATGCAAATAAAAGCGCGAATTGATGAGATTGAAAGACACTACCGTCTTAATTACTGAGCACTATCGGCGAACTCAGTCTTGCGTTATGAGGTGGTTTTCACGGAACTAACGATTGAATATTTCGCCGATTTTCTTTGTTCTTTCGCGAGATGTTTGTTGGCGCGAACAAAATGGAGCGATTTTGAAGTTTTTTTTTTATGATATTATGCGAAAGTAATTTTTTAAAATTCAGACTCAGAAGGTATATATATTACGAGAAACTCAAAAGTGGTAAAATTTACGCTCTTGAGTTTTTTTATTATTATCAAGAAACATTTTCTATTTGCAAATAATATATTATGTATCATAAATATTAATAATATTCTGTATCATAAATATTATTAGAAAAAAATTGTCAGTCTTTTGCATACTATCTTTCACATATGTTAATATATTATTAAAAATTGTTAATTATAATTTGAAGAAAAAATCATTAGATTATGATTTATGTATAATTTATATTATGTATCATAAAATATTACGTGTATTAATATATTACATTTTGTAATATGTAGCATATGTATTATTAAAAATTGTTAAGTTAAGTTAAAGAAAAATCGTTAAGTTCTCGATTTATATATATTCATAATTCACGTACCTTCAGAGTCCGAATGTGTCCGACAGCGGAGGC